CGCATGCGCTTATCGCTCCTTTGCGTATCTTATCAATCGACCACAGCTCAGTTATCGATTTTTCTCGAACTCGCTCTTGCTACACAGTGAGTTCATTTACTCTGTATGTTACCATCAAGTAAAGTCAGCTAAAATTTCATGCACGTCTTCTATGAGCCCACCGAAAATCGTCGTCTTTGGTACTATCATTCAAGACCTTATAAGGTAGGCGCTTCCTGGAATTTTATTTCACTTCTCACTTGTAATTACGGTAGGTTGAAGTTGAAGGACTGAGAAAAGTGCTGCAATTGCAACATGCATAGACTGATTGGTTCACCACTGAACCCGGGAGGCGTGAGTGGTTGTGCAAAGATTGAACTTGTAAACAGTCGGACAGCGAAAAGCAAGCATCGCCCGATCCCTCTGAACCGCAGCTTCGTCATCTGAAGATTTTAGTACAAATAGTGAGATAGTAAGACCCCCATTACTTAGCGTGAAGCTAGTAAGAGCGCCGAATAAAATATTCGAATTTGTAAAATAAATTATCGAGCGACCAGAAAGGCGCTATTGCCGAAATGGGGTGGCGTTCTAGGAGTTCACGGAGTCACTGTCCTCCCTGGAACTACTAGGAGGAGACAGGAACTCCGTGAAAATGAAAATCACTCGTGCACATTCAAGTTCCTCTCTATGGCGCAATCTTTTTCATAAGAGATACACGATTTTTGGCGCAGTGTAAATGCGTTGTAGCCACGATGCCCCTACACCTTGCGATAGCGCCACCAGAAAATACATACTACATATACCAGGGCAACTGCAGCAAAGTGAATGGCGTCCTACGAGATTCGAAAAACGAAAAACGGGAGTACGAGATCAAGCTCGAGTCGAGAACTACCTTTAATTATTAAGAATTGAGAAAAAAATGGATCTAAAGAAATCATGCTTCATGTTGTAGCATATCGTACAACTGAAGATGCTTACTTGCTCATTACCACAAGTCTCTAATTATTCATTTATTTGTACTATTATTGTGTTTATATTTCGAGTTTGATTACGAAAAATCACAACCTTGCCCATTTTCTAATTCCAGAATGCGACTCCATTGCGAAAAGAAATGTGCGCTTGAAAATAATTGAAATAATTGAGCTTGTTCTGAGTTAATTTATTGAAAACATTTATCCGTGGCCGGCTTCAAATGAGTCTTTCACTCAAATGATTTCATGGCCTTTCTAGGTAGGCTAACGTCGCACGAGTAAGTCACTTATTACAGATAGTAAAGAGTAAAAAAAATGATTTTGAGCATTCCGGTCATTTCAGCTTTTGGGACGCGCCACGCATTCTAATTCAATCCAGCACGCAGATGGTTTGAAGGTGATTGGCTCACATAATCACTTGCTTGCGGACCAACGGCTGAACAAAATCACAGTGTTTTATCCTCCCAGAGAAGTCCGATACAAATACAAATTAACAAACCCTGGCCTGGAAAGATTTGGTTGGCTCAAACGGCACACCATTCAAGATTTGATCCTCGGACCATGCGCATGGCAAGCAGCGCCACTTGTCATGACACCACTTTCGAGCCTGCAACTAACTAAATGATAATGGAACAGAGACTATATATGAACGCACGGATTGCAGCATACATAATTGTGTTCATGAGATTGGTCCGAGAGTGCCGAAACCACTCTACTTGAAAAATTAAAAAAAAAGAGTTATAAAATGTGTTCCATGGGAATGCGCAGGAAATCGAACTTCCCCACGAGTACAGAAAAAGCCTCTTTCGATTCCGGACAACTGTGGGAATCTCAAACTGGAATAAGCTGTATGAGAAATTGACTTTTTTTTCTCAGACCATGGGAAAGCTCAAGCAGATACCGCGTGACGCGTACAGATCTGTTCAGGCTTTCTAATATAGTTTGATACCTTTGCAATTGCGAATATGAAATGGAAGTGAGTGCGTGCCTAGTCCAGAAATCTAATCATTCGCTATCATTCTACATCTGTAACTCTATAAATTACAGTTACACGGAACGATTTCCACGACCTGGTGAGACTGTTCGAGGCACGGAGTTTTTGTCCGCACGAGGCGCAAGAGCGCCAACCAAGCAGTTGCTGCCGCTCGTCTCGGCGCTCAAGTCACTCTCGTCGCCAAGGTAAAATTCACATTTTTTGCAAGCACCGTCCTAGAAGAAGTTCTACTAGCGCTCCAATTGGGTAGCCCAACTCTGTCCTCAACGACATACCCCAAGAAAGAAACTGGTGCAATTATTATACAGAAATTGAAATCAGCAGTGAGACCGAAGACCGTCAGTGAAAAAAAGCAAAATAATTCATCGGAAACACTGAAATTGGGGAGCTTCCTTTTTTGCAAGGTCGATTGTAAAAGGACGCAGAGACACAGCGCGTTGAGTAGAGAGTACGAGAGAGCACGCCGCACGAGAGGTAGCAGACACGACACATGTTACAAGTATGGAGAAAAGGCGAAGCAGTGAAAATAAGGCCCTAGCCGCCTTGTAGCCAACTTCCAACCCCGCGAAAACGGCACAACTGCAACTTTTGCGGACAACCCTATCCAACCGCCACAGGACTAATCCACATAGGCTCTTCGTGAAGTGGGCCTTTGAGAATCGTTCATACTTGACGAACGGTGTCTTTAAACGAACGCGTTCACGTAGAGAAGACTCAGGGAACGCGCACATGAAACGGCCGTATGTCTGCTTTCTCTCCTGTTTACGTCTGCTCTTCGTGAAGATTATCGTGCGCTACTTGTAGAATGTAGCCAGCTTTGGCCGATGTCAGACTTTGCGAATCGCGCGATTCGCTACTAGCGATTCGCGCGATTCGCTAGCGTCCGCGGTCGCGTTGCGGTACCAGCCAATTGAGTGATTCACTGGCCGCGACGCGACCGCAGACGCTAGCGAATCGCGCGATTCGCAAAGTCTGACATCGGCCTTTGTTGAGCGAGTACGACTGCAGTCTTCAAAAGCCTCCCTATTACACTAGTACGGCTCAGATGGCAGTGTACTGAATGGAGAACTAATAACTTTCAGGTTGGAGACGATGTTCTTGGAGAAGAGAATATAAAAGGACTGCGAGATTGTGGCGTAAATGTAGACAGAATAGAAAAATCGAGCAGAAGACCTACCGGCACCGCACTCATAACAGTCAATGCCAAAGGTATGTATTTAAGTTTGCTGATAGATGCCGTGGCGCAACCGCGCGCGGCATCAACCCAACGAAGTGGTTCTATTCACTCATAAAATGGACCCATTTGAAAAAGTTTCGTATCATTTCAGGCGAACATATAATGGTGGTCTCGTTGGGGGCCAACCTAGAATTGGACGAGTCGTCCGCGGTGCGCCATGCGGACGTGTTGAACGGTGCAGATGTCGTCATTGCACAAGCTAGAGTATGCCAAAGTGGAAATATAAGAAAATATTCGAATTAGCACGGCAGCAAAAAGGAATGAGGTGCTGAGAGACACAAGTAATTAACGTTAGTAGGGAAGAAAATCGGTGATCTTTATTTGATTCAAATTTTAGTTTTGACTTCTGCAATCACGCAATGATCAATGTTCGAGAGATTTCGAATCAATAATTGGAGTAGTCGATATCTTGTGCATAAATGAGCTTGAGGTACTGTTGAAGGTCTTGGGCACTGCTACAATGCCGAGTGATTCATGTTGGAGCCATTGGGCCATTCTTTCTAATAATACGTTTTTAAATACTAATTTTTCTACAGAATCCGCAATTATATCAGTTGTCAGATTGATTTCATACATACAGTAACGCCCAAAAGTCTACGGTGGAATCCTTTATCGACTGCAAAGATGAATGAAGAAGGCTCCTTCGAAGCATATTAAAATTTGAACTGATTTTGGTAAACAGAAAGGAAGTCACAATCAAAAAGGATTCCACCAGAAGAATTTAGCGCTGCTGCGTGCAGCTGCTAGCTGCGAGGCAGCGTTCATGCTCAGCGTTTTGAGAAAATCACGGATTCGGAGAGCTGGGGAATCCGCGCAAGTGACTGTACGCATATCGATTACCACGTCGTTGTAAGCGTCCCGGATAATGACCCAAGTACCACTAGATATTAGATATTACAAGTAAAACAATACAAATGTAATAGGTTTCTCACGTATTCTCCAGTTCTCCAACTCTACGATTCTCTAGTTCTTCGATTCTCCGATTCTCTTTATTGATAAACACCTTCGCTTTTTCGCGATTTTCCAACCCTCTTGGGATGCAGAGTATAAACACGGCCTAAAATGTTCAAAGTCTTACAAAAGCTGAGAATTTACACTTTTCCCAGTGAACTGTTCTCAGTCTTTGCATTTCACTTCTTGTACTTCAAAACATTTAGGGGAAGAGGGCTGGGTAAACAAAAATATGTACTGAAGCCATATTGAGACTATTTTCACCTGATGGTGTGACATTATCGAATCAAAAAAAGTAGCTCCAAAAAATTCCAGGCCGCGGTTATATCTCGAATGATTGTGAACGATGTAGACAGTGCGAAAACGGCAGCAGCAGTTATTCAACGAATGGGACCGAGAAATGTGATCATAACGCTTGGAGCTGACGGTGAGTTCCGGTTGCACTACCATATATTCTGCACACGTCTTAGCAGGCGGGTAGTCCCGATCTGCGGAAGGTCTTTCTCACAGCTCGCTGATTTTGCAGTGTCAAAAAGTTGATTTTGAAGAAATGCTTCTATTCAGAGTCATAGCGGCCTCCTACTTCCTTTATGAACATTTTTTGTGTAGTTTGCTAATGTCTAATCTATTTCACGCCATTCACAGTGATTGAAGTGGAACTACTTGAGCACCTTGCGCTTACCCTACCACCTCGGGTAAGAATGGTAAAGTTCTCGGCGTTGATCAAAATTTTACGGATGCGCCACGTTTTCCACTTTCATTCACAATCGCACTGTCAATTAGATGCATCGCACTTCATCTGATGAATTGCGAATGTGGGTTGGCCTATGTACAAGTCAGTGCTTTCATCTCAACAGACGAGTACAGTTGCGACTAAACGATCCACAAGAGCAGATGGCTCGGCACTATTTACCCTTTACTGCCCCACTCCTCGAGAACTGAGCCAGATTTTTATCGAAATTGGTCATTGACTGTGAATTTGGCCAGAAACTTGCCTTCAGGGGTAATTCGACCCGTAGAACACGAATATCACATTTGTTTACTTAGGTAATTTGTAGTGCAGCTAGAACGCCTGCGCTCAGCGGTTAGAAGCGCGCCGGCGCTCGGATCCCCAAATTCGCTGGAAAGTTGTCCTCAGAGGTATTTTGACCCGTAGAATATGATTATCACATCAGTTTGTTACGAGTGAACCTGTAGCCTGCGCTACGAGCGCCCGCGCCCGCGCAAAACTGTTGTGATAGCGCCGGCGCCTGTGGCGCGGGCGCCAAGCGTTTTCGCTCTAAACCGGTATTATATTCGTGATCTACGGGTCAAATTACCCCTGAAGGCAAGTTTCTAGCAAAATCCACAGTCATGGACGAATTTCGATCAAGACAGACGCCTAGTAAGCATTATGAGCAATACCACATGAAAGACGTAGTGTTCGGCTTCGATCAGCCTCTTTTTAAGTTGCGCCACGCATCTTTTTCCATTAGACACCGTGGTAACATTTGAATCCATTTATTTTATGCAGTGACTTGCGGTGCCGGTGAATGTATAATCGTGTGCTTTCGTCCATCGATTCAAGATGAATCTGGCACCTATTCAGCCAGCTCCGCAGGAACGGAGTAGATCGAGGACTTGGCTGAGCAGGGTTTAACTTAGGGTTCGACGACTTGACGCTGCTTATTGCTAGACCATCTCCACCTCGACACTTTTGTACATACTTATAAACCTTTGAAGAAGCTAGAAATCTGATACCAACTTATCATTCAGGGTGCGTTTTCAAAGGAAGCGATGAACTAGCCACTCATATACCAGGAACGCCATCACAAGTGGTCGACACTACGGTAAGTGAACATCAGACTGTCGCCTTTCTTTCAGCCTCTCATATAATATCCCTGTAGTATTTCATGATAAATTTCAGCGGAGCAATGATATTGTTATGCAATCATTCGCCGAAAATCACTCCACACCATCCCTTATTTCCAGGCTAGACCTGCATCCTTTTGCGAACGATATCCGGGGCGGGATTCCGCCTGTACAAGAGGTAAATTCATGAGAAAACTGTGGCTGGTGTCAGAGTCCGCGATCCGTCGCGCGATGGATCGCGGACTCTGGCACCAGCCTGTCGCATTCGAGAGTGATTTGAAGATATGGCGTCGCAGAGCTTTCGATTGTAGCCCCAAAAATCTCGGTCCCAGATTGTCGGCCCAGCGGACCTAGGAAACAAATGGCTCAAGCGAGATTTATCAAGGGCCAAAGGTATTAGAGGGTGCTAACCGCTTCGCAACCAACCCCGACCTAAAGAATGGGTAAGAGTATACAACAAAATTCTTTCTGGAAGAACCGTAATCTTCACCTACTGTAATCACTCTTTACATGCAATAATTCGGTTCGCTCACCTTTCACGTTCATGGCTTGTGTTTCAGGGAGCAGGAGACTGTTTCTGCGGCTCGTTGGCGTTCTTCATCGCTCACAACCGACTTCGTGGCGCATATTCGTCCTGCGACGACTGTTGCATTCGCGACGCTTTGAAGAAAGCCGCCACCATCGCCTCACTTTCAGTGACTCGAAAAGGGCGCTCAAACTTCATTCTGGACACGTGACGAAATCCGCCCCGCATCTTTAAGTAATAAAATAATAGTTACTGTTAACCCTAAAAAAGATGCTGAAGCATTTATTCCAGGTTTATAGAAGAATTTTTCTGGACAGAGTTACGTCCACATGCATTAAGATCGTTAAAAGGCTGCATAGAGATTTATTCCTAATACAAGCAATGATATTTACAGATCGACAACTGTACGGGATCACGTCGCTGAAAATGTTTAAATGATTCCCGGACAGCTAGCACATTTCTGGCGAGCGGGATACCGTCGCGCGGCAGCTCATTGAAATGTTAAACCTAATCTAATGACAAGTTCAATTCCCGTTTCAAAACAATATTCAAATTAGAACAACTTCACAAGATCGACCACTGAAAACTCGGCCATGGAAAAAAATAAACAATCTAACCTCTAAACACAACAATATAACACGTCTAAAACAAAAATGCTAGTGAGCTAATGAGTTCCAGGAGGTTTTTGCAAAAGGTCCGTCCACAAAAATGCTGTCACACATGCCACCAAGTCGTCAAATGCCGTGTCCAATCGTTGTTGCCTGCAAGCACCGCACATTTGAAACTGAATAGCGGTCAACCGTCCACTGAGGTTCTTCTAAACCCGGACAGCTAGCACATTTCCGCAAAGGGGGGGGGGGAGGGGTTGCAATTTGGGATTTGAGGGCAGGGATGTAGGTACGTATTTTTCTAAATTTTTGGACGTAGACAAAATAACGTTTTTGTAAAGGGAATTTTTACCTGATTCCCGTGAAGAAATTTCGAAAATTACCCGTTTCGGCTGTATTCAGATCAGTATTCAAGCATCCGTTTGTACTATTCGAACAAAGGGGGGGGGGTGAATTTGTGATTTCGGGAAGAAGGTCGTGTTAGGGTTGAGCAAGGTTATCATAGTGGGGAGGACGTGACGAGACCTGTTGAAGAGGGCTGTTTAGAAGAGTTCTTTGAACCGAATTTGTCCGAAAGTGGTGAGAATAAGGCAAAATTGGTGAATTGCCGCTTTACTATACCAATTTACCCCCGACAAATCACAAATATGATTATTCCTATTCCGAAGGCTTCTTATTTATTCTGCTGGCTACGCTAAATTGCTTCGCATCCCCAACTCGCCATTACAGGAAAAGACGTAAGAAGCTTAATAAGAACCACAGTGAAATCGCCAGAACATAAAAGCAGTTGGTACGAACAATTTCGACTCGTCTTGCGTATCCTCGACGAGATCCGCCTCCTTGAGCAGTACGCTTAGTGTTGGAGTCGTTTCACCGACACATTCTATCAAAAACATCGCATCCAAATCCGGATTCGTCAGTATTAAACACTGAAAAGAAGAAAAAGCAGAATAAATACCATGAAAGGACAGGAATTCTCCCCAACAATTCAGCACATAAGTTTACGCCATGCCCACTCATCTCCTACAGAAATGCAGAAGCGATTAAATGCATATGAAGATTCTATTCGGATTTATGCTTGACTCCTCTTACAGTCGAGAAACGACAGATCCTTCCTACTTTCAAAAACTCTAATCAAACCTGAACAAACCTTTTCTGTTGAATTCGGGAACTCGAAGAAACGACATCGATCTGGTCCGTAGCGGGCGAACAGAAAACGACACAGCCGAGCGCAATTTGAACCTTCTAACAATTCACGAAGTCTGAAAATTCCATAGTCCCTTAAGGGATCTAACAAAATGTTTATGCTCCATGAAACAGCATCAAATCAAAAGTGAGACCTGAAAAAATGGCTCACCTTGGCTCACGACTTTCCATGTAGTACTGACTAACGATCGATATAAGAGTTTTCAATTTGGACGGTTCCATCGTCTCATGATGAGACACTGAGCGTAACTGATGCCATGGGTCAAGGCTTCTGAAAATTATTTATAAAATACAATGAAGGATGAGATGAGACTCACTAACAACTGTACCTGTTCGGGTTCGATCCTAGGAAAATACTGCTCAAACCCGTTGTTGGTTGCGCGGAGCGCCCAGTTTTTGGCAGCAACACCTATAGAAGACTTGAGTATAGATCTCCGCGATTTCAGACAACAAATTTTATTTGACTATGGCTGACCTGTTTCCACATAATCGCACGGCGACACAAAAACTCTGCCTCTTTGACACATGAGGTCAGTTGCAAGCTGAACTGCGAAACAGCATCCTCAACCTCCTATAATAAAATTATTTATTCCGACTATTTACGCACGGAACGAGTAATTCGGAAACAGTTCGCCAGCTTCAGAGAAGCATATTCCAGCCAATCATAAATCAATCTGCACCGCCGCGAGTGAATGATACCTTTTGAGGCGCAATACCCGCGACATTTGGCTACCTACCCACTATTTCGAAAAACGAGAAGAGCGTCGAGTGCAGACCACACACCACAAGTGACGACGGCCAAGAAAAGTGGCTTTTTCTTTCTTTTTTCTTGGCCGTCGTAACTTGTGGTGTGTGGTCTGCACTCGACGCTCTTCTCGTCTTCCGAAATAGAGGGTACACTCGATGTGAGTAATCTTGACCGTAAAACTTGGATTTACAACTACAGTAATCAATATATCGATCAATTTCCCAACCTTTTGTAGAATTCTTTGTCGAGCACTGAGAAAATGAATGTACGTCACATGCTCGCCGGGAATCGTACCATCTAAATACCAACCAGTCGTATTAAAAATTTTCTTACTTGGTGACATGCTTATAAAATTGTACAGGTAAATAAAATATAAATAAATAAATGAACAGATAAAAGATTTAAAAAAAATAAATTTATCTTGTATCGAAAGAATCGAGAAATATCCAATGGGAACCATAAATTTCAATTGTAATCAAGGCCTGGTGGAATAAATTCACGAATTCAAGAATGAAAAGAGTCAAAAGGCCTAAATCATTTTTAGGTTAGGTGACAACCGTTCATACGGTCAGTTTCCGATGCGACGCGGGTGCGATTCCCCCTGCACATGTACCCGATGCAACGTCCATCGATCGGCGCCTTTCAGGAAATCCTTCGGTGCGAAGCGCGGAGAGTTCAGAACCTTGATTCTGATCCAGAGACATAATTAGTGCTACCGAGATTAATTTTTCAAAAAATTTCAATCAGTAGTCATATAACTACCCAAAGTAGGCGGTTTGTTGATAGCTAAGGTAGCTGTTGTCGAGCTTTGCAAATGGCCACCGCTAGAAAACCGTCTACGAGACGACAAATTACCATCGGCGTCTTCATCACTGAAACATCTTTCAGTAGGTAAATATATATTCAACATAAAATAAATAAATTAAATAAATTGCAAAAAAAGGTCATGTATGATTCATTGAAGAAAAATTACCATGTAGGAATTGAGCCCTTCAGATACCCGCATAGAAACCAAGTTTATTTGTCAGACCAACCATGCTCTATTATGGAAAACGGGAAGAGCGTCGAGTGCAGACCACACATCACAAGTCACGGCGGCCAAGAAAGAAGAGAAGAAAGCCACTTTTTTTCTCGCCGTCGGCAATTGCGGTGTGAGGGCTGCACTCGACGCTCTTCTCGTTTGCCGAAATAGATGGGTATCTCCGCCCTAAGCTCAACAATCCCCAGTTTTCAATTTTTCTTATTTTAGAACCACGATCGAGTGCGGTGTAACGGCAAGCGGCGAGGCATACCAAACGCACAATGCGGGATCGAATCTCGCAGCATACAACCAAGAGCCGTCTCTGCCGGAGCACGCTTGCCTCTAATTTGAATGAGGATCATATTTGCGATTCGGGATCACATTTTAGGTTGTAATTGGAGAAAGTTCTACTGGAAGTAACGTTGAAGTAGACGAATTGAGGGATTTGCTGGCTCCATTGTTAACAAATAATTCCCCTCTGCTGACCCCTTGACGCTCAACCGATCCGTTAACGAGGGGGCGGTCGGGGTAGGAGAGGGGAAGAATTGGTATTGGGGGAGCCTCCTAAAGACTGATGATATCGGGCCGTGAGTGGGAGGGGGAAAATTGCGACCCGCTCTCCCCGAGCGGATAAGATAATGCTAGACGCATAAGCAATACAAACTCACTGATAGCTCAGTCACCAGAGTCAACCCTGCGTTGCGCAGTTCGCAACGGCACGTTGAGAGATCCTCAACGCACGCTGTATGGGCGGAGACACAGACGGCTCGAGCATGCGAGTGTGAATGTTCGCGCGAGAGAACGTGTCTAATCGGGCGAAACTGCGCAACGTGGCCGTTGAGAACTGCGCAACGCAGGGTTGACTCTGATGCACAGTGATGTACCGCGTCGGAAAAGCATACATCGTTATTTCAAATTGGGAAAGCGGGGCGCATTCCAAAACAGGATTCGGTCAACGCTGACTAATTTAACGGTTGATCCGTCAAATTAGAGCCACACCTCAGAATATTTCTGTATAGTGATCCTGCTTACTGAAGCACTCAGTATGACCCCTTGTGTGGTTTTAATACTGAAGGTGAGTCATGCGGTTACACTCCCTCTGAAAGCTTTTCTCATCTCCCTCTGAGACTTTCGCACGGTGCTATGAGAAATAACAATACAGAACACCAGCCAAATTTGGAAGTTTGGCAGCTGGAACCTCCCTCTACATTGAATGGTAACAGTCCCTGTTGGGCAAATAACTGATTCATTAGATAAAGAAGTTGTGTAACAGAAGCGAGAAGACAATAAGGGATGGGTGACCAACGTACCGATCCAACATTTGCTCTAAATCTTTTACACTTTCCACCGGCGGTACTTCCTTTTTCTTCTCGAAGTTCTTGAATTCTCCAACTTCACTTTGCCGAGAATCTTCGCGATGACGTTCTTCCTCCAGTGGTGAAGCTACAAGGAAATTTTCGTAAAAATAGCTCGGTAATTGTCATTTTCACGGATTGCACCATGCCTGCGACATCATGGTAAGGTGTAAAAGTATCTGACCATTTTAAGACACATACATATTTAAGCAAAGAAAGGTGCTCTCAGGCCTGTGCTTCTACATTCTCTAACCCCGTCTTTAATGTTGCCTATATGACTTTTGGTGGTGCGTTTCTGCTCCTCTAAAATCTACCATAGGCGTACCACCAGGAGTCGAATGGATAAAGCTCGGTTGGTCCGCGTAGGATTGCAACCAAACACGACGCTTCTAGCCCTAGCACCACCTCTCACCTCCCCACAATTGAAGCGCTGTGTATTAGATTGGACTCACTTTGTTCCGTCGACACTGCTATCAAGTAGAACACCAGCTGTAGTTCTTCTCGTTCATGGCGGCGATCACGTAGTACCACTCGGAAAAGCTCTTTCGACTAAAAGCATGCAAAATTGGTAAAGCAAAGAAAATCCAGGGAAATCCTAGGAATCAAAACCTTTAATAGACCTAGTAACTACCATAAAACTGCCTGTACTAGAGTAGGAATAGAAGAAACAAACCCCATCAGTAGATGTGGTTGATTCGCTCGAAACAAGCATAAAATCGTCACGACGTTGTTCGGTAGAACGTTCTTCGCTGTTCTGAATACCGATATTGGTCAACCAAAGATTCAATCAAATTACACTCATACGTCACTCAAGGCCAAACTGACTTCACAAAAGAAGCCCTCTGGAATTTGTCAACGAAACTGTCACGATGGGAGATATTTTCATTTGATGTGTACTTAGTTGAGGAACGATCACATTAAGACTTGGTAAGCTTCAAGTGGCTCTCCGGAGACGTTTCGGCGATCAGTCATGGGCCAATTCTTCACCCTGCGACGGAAGCTCTCTTCGAAAATAATCACATTTGCGGTTTTGGAATATGTGTTTTGAATCTCCCTGTCGAAATGGAGGGTTCGCGATGGTGTCATGTCCGCAGGTATTGCCATTGGCAAGCAGAGACACAATCGTCAATTTTCTAAAAAATAAAGCGAAAACTTCAGAGCTTTCTAATTCTTAGATTGGTCGATGCTCAGAGCATCCGATGGTATAAATTCCTCATATCCGGCTATATTTTCTCATTGCTTACACCCAAAACGACGACTTGTAATCGGAATGTAGTAAATCCAGGCAACTGAACAAAAATGAGGGGCGTGTATTGGCATCCCTTACCATCCCTAACAGGTGAGCGAGATTGGTTGGTCCCAAGCGTCAAAATCATTACCACATTGCGAATCAGCGGTGGTGAGAGCGCTACGAATTTCAATCAGTGCACACCTCATGCTACCGCTCAACGTGCCAGTTACACTCACCTGCGCTACTCTCTCTCATCTCCGACTCCTTTGCCCCACCATGACCCCACTGTTTCTTCCCATAAAGCTTCTTCACACTTGTAGTGCTTTCTTAAGAATATACTGATTTTTACTACGAAACACACCTTTAGCTTCAGTACCGTCCAACCGTATGCTTTCTCGCAGCTCAGGAAATGATCCCAAACATCGCCTCCTCGAACGCAATGTGCATAAGCATTAAAGGATAGCGCTCTGCAAATCAGCTTCGCTAAAAGATCTTCAGGTGAGTTATCCATGCCACCAAAAAATACCTTCATAGACGCAATTCCTCGCATTGGGCGGCCGGCAGCCATAGTATTCCAGGAAGTCCACCAAAAATGCATGTGTATTGTATCCTGGCGAAATAAGACAAATTTAGGCGTATTATTTGTGGCAATAATCTATTTATGAGAGATGGATTTTTTAAATACACACATAGAATTGGGTTGGCAGGAAAGGGGGGTCGTTTTGGTTTGGTGAAAAAAAAACGGTGTACTAGAAATAGAAGATTTCTGAGGGAGACCTTTTATTTGAAAAAAGGTTGACAGCTAGAGAAAACGATTTGGCGGCAAGTCTGAAAGAGTGCGCGCTCAGCTAAATTTGAGAATTTACTTACCGTGAGAGTAGCCCATGTGTAGAAGTAAGAATGGTACATGTTCCCAGGTGGAAACTGAAGCTGCCTTTCAAGAGAAGAAATTTTTTGAATCAGGGTATGTTTCCGGTCTAAAGCCCCCTTTCCCACATAATAAAAATTGTCTCTACGGTCTACTTCATGCTCACTATCATCCAATCCTTTGCAATCCGACCCATCGGACCTTCTGCACCTTTATGTGATTCCACATTTCTTTTCTACATATCAGAATAGCCAGTTCACCTAGCTACTTGCAAGACACGATGAAAACCATATAACTTGGAATACACCAATAAAAGCTCAGGGAAGTATGGTGAAATTTTCTCTCTAACAGGCCCCTCAGTTCAACTTGAACTCAAGCTTCAAATCTGCTTGGTCTATATGAACAATTTTCTTCTTCATAAAAATCGCCCTTGAGCTTGAAATGTAATGATCAATCAATATAGCCCAAGGTTTTCAGAGCTTTCAATACCACCTCCGTGTTTGCCAATATTTTGAACCAGGTTTTCAAGGGCGCTCTATTTGATGAAATATGCCGAATTGTAACAATGATGGACGAACTTCCAAAAAAAAGCTAAAATGCTCACCTTATCTTTACCCACAAGGTATCTGCTCAACATTCGTAAGTGGAAATCGTAGGTGAACGAATGCAGATGACACTGCGCTATGATGATATCTTTCAGCTGTTGCAGTTCACGAATCTGTCGCACCGAGTCCGTGCAGGAATCACCCTAAACAATCTGGCTATATTCCCGCTTGGCACCGGCTTTTACCAGTAAAGTCTTTCAGGACATGGAGCGCTTTTTCAAAACGGTTTGTTGCATTTATAGGGCACGTGCGTGGAGCATAAATCTGATGATCATTTTTTCTGAGCGGCCCTGGGATTGCCAAAAAAGGGCAGAAAATTTTCCTTGAGAAGTGAAACTTTTCCATTTTTAATAAACTCTACAGCATTTGTAGAGTTGAATAGTTGCATTTTGGGAAGCTTTTTGTTCACTGAATAAGTTCAGACATATATGAACCCAAGAAAGTGAAAAGTGAGAGAAGAGAGAAGAAGAAGTGGAAATCAGAGAAATGCAAAAATTTGTCCTCAGTGGGGATCGAACCACAAGCCATGGTTTCGACATGTTTTTAGCATTTTCAGAGCCGCTCAGAAAAAAAATTCTCAGTTTTATGCTCCCTGTGGCTATCTCTATAACATGCAAAA